AAAGCTAAATCTATTGGTTCTCTGTTAGTTAAATCCTTTTACTTTTAAATCCGTAAAATCTCTATTTCCCAGTTTAAAATCCAATATTTACTTATTCTCCTCCTGTTCATACTTATTCTCCTCCTGTCCCCCGTATTCTCCTTCTCCCTTCCTCCTCTCCATCCCTATCCTTTTTATCCCTCCTCTTGCCTGCTAATATATCCCCCTGCAATTCTTTCCTTCTCCTCTTCTGTCCAGCCGTATCTTACTTCTCTCCTCCAATTCAACCCTCTTCCTTTACTCCTTTTCCCTGCTCCTGTTCCCCCCTATCCTCCTGTCGATCTCGTTCCTCCTTCTTTACCCCCTTTAACTCTTGTTACTACTCTACATATTAATAAAGATTTATCCACATGAACATTGAAAATACTAAATAATTTACTAGTGAAATTTTAACGAATACATGTCCCATTAAAAACATTAAAGTTTAAAGAAATTTAAAAATATAAAACTTAAGTTAATGAGAATAAAAGATAGATGGAAATACAATTTTCCAATTGAAAACAATTTAGAAAAAATTTGGTTCACAAGGAAAACAAATACTTCACACAATTGACCAAATGAGATAATAACAATAAGCACTGGTTTCTCTTTCAAACCCAATACAAATATGATATGAATATTCACGTTTGTAAACATAGAAATCACATTAATACATACATACAGGGTGGTTCAATAAAATAAAAGTTGAGAGATAGTCTAAATTATTCAACTATTTAATCACAAAGAATGCATCAAAAATAAGGTTACAGATTTTTATAGTGGGGTTTACTTTCCAAAGGAATTAAGTCTTAAGGAATTAAGCCACAAACTCTGATTTTCTAATCCCTATATCTTTGCAACCCAATGTTGTAAGACTTTAGAGATTCAAACTTTAGATTTTGTTATATCAAATAATCTAAGTTTTAGATATCCATCAGGTTGCAAAGATATACGGATTAGAAAATTTGTGGAAAAGACTCGATTCCTTTCTTGAAAAATTACAAATTAATTGGATGTTAAAGCAATATTGGTGTACCAAAGAAATTAATTATAAACGGAATTTTACACATCTCCATTAATTCTGTCAGCAAAAAAAAGGCAGACTACATTTTCTAAATCCCAAGACTTGGGATTTTTATGAGAATTGTACAAGAATCATGTTTATATTATCGACGGATAATATTAAATTATTTCAAGGCATGGTTTATGAACTTCAAGCCATCTCTCAACTCAAGTGCTTGTGGGACACCCTGTATAACACGAAAATTTTAGGACAGCAAAGCAAAACGAATCTTCAGAAGATTTCAAACATCATTTAAAAAACAGATATTTAGCAATGATTAGTAAAGCTGATGAAATTTTGTTTTAAAGACGATACGATACATAACTGTATATAAACTTAAAAAGTTTAAGAAAAAAATAGAATTTTTTATTTAATTGTTTAGAATGCTTTCAAAATCTAAGGCTGATCAGGGTTAGAATAAAACAAAGTGAATATTTACCAAGAATGTAAGGCAAGGAAAGTTATTTCAGAAGTGTACACATCTTTTGTACATTCTTAATATTTACTACAATATGCGTTTTCGTTTACACTGTACACAAGTCTAAGAAACTGTTACTCTAAAAAAAATTTCTTCGAGTGTCTTATTTTTTCTTTCAAAACGTCTGTTGGTATTCACTATGCAAAACAAAGGAAACGATTTGATGACATAAACTCTAATTTCTTAATCCTTATATCTTTGAAACCCAGTGTCGTATACCGTTGATATTTCAAACTATGAACTCTGTTAGATCAAACAGTCTAAATTTTACACCATCTGGTTGCAAAGAGATAGGGACTAAACAAATTGTGTTCGTGGGAAAAATCAGTATCTTTTCCCGTTTTTGAACTTTAATACCAAAAATTAAAAAACAATAAATATTTCTTTATTTGTTAAAAAACAAAAGTTAACAATTGTTAAACTCTAAACCTTTGTTTAAAACATATATTGCACTTTCTGCTGCTTTCTAATCTTTTTTCCACTTATATATTCATCTTGTAAAAAATCAGCAAATGTTACTAACAAAAAAAAGCATTTATGTTAGTAAATGCCAGAAATCTACATAATATTATTGTTACAAAAATTGAAAAGGGTAAAATGGATAAAGGCTTAAAAATTTATTATGCTTTAGTTAAGAAAACATTTACGGCCCTGGTCCCCTTGAAAATAGTCCCTAATGGCTAATGCCCCTGAGCACATCGATAAGAAAATGGTGTTAAATGTATAACTTAAAGGTAGGTCAAGCACGACTATAGATAGAACATGGATACAAGCAGAACTAACTGGTTGTAAATAAATACCGTTCCTTTCTATCCGTTCAATACATATACGCTACTCTTGTGATTTTACTTCGGTAGGATCAAGGAGATATTTACAGGGAACTGGATATTTAATAGAAGGAGGGGGCGATAAGGTTTCCGTACACTTTGCTTTGACGTTTTTGGACTGCTGAAGAACTAGTTTTTGCGTAACAACAATAACAAAGGCAGCCGATCTAATGTAAACAAACATGAGTTAGTAAACTGTGAAAGTAGTATTATCTTGTTAAAGAAGATTGCAAAAGTTATAGATTATAGTTTTATACGAAAAGGACCTTATTACAGAGACATTTTCAATCAAATTCAAGGTTATCCCCCCCCCCCTAGATGTCTGTTTATCATTTGTGTTATTTTTTACAATCTTTATTATTGTTGTTACGTAAAAACTAGTTCTTCAGCAGTCCAAAAACGTCACAGCAAAGTGTACGGAAACCTTATCCCCCCCGTCCTTCTATTCAATATCTCCTTCGATAGGATCCTGTGTTATCGTATTTAAGGGACTGTACACGTAATTTCAAGTGACTCTCCGTTTGTAAAAAGTGACATGTCCGATTCACATCAGTACCATTAACAGCTTTGTCTGATCAAGATATCCGAAGTCATGATATTTTTAATACTGGTGTCTCTGTAGAATGTCTTACGCATTTATGCTTTAGAAAAATATGGAGGCAATTACTTTTCAAGCTAGAAACGACACTATCTTCTACATTATTGATCAGATATATGATTGAAGGGTGTTAATGTGAATCGGACATACCCCTTTTTTTAAAAGGAAGGTCATTTTAAACTAAAGTTTGAGTCTCTTTCAACATATATTTCCTTGAATATTAATTGCACTGGACAATACAATAGAAGTTCTGACCAATGAGAGATCGGGTAATCCCTCAGAGACATATTGATGAGTTTAAAAGTTTCCAGCTTGGTAGGATTGTTAACCAATCAAGGTTGCTTACTCTCAGAGACATATTGATGAGTTTAAAAGTTTCCAGCTTGGTAGGATTGTTAACCAATCAAGGTTGCTTACTCTCGATGCGCTCTAATGCACAGAAAATGTCGTCTCCTAAGTATAAATGTCCAATGCTTAGAAACCGACATTTTCCCTACATTGGAGCGCATCGAGAGTAAGCAACCTTACTACAAAACTTAAAACTAATTTAGCATTGAATGATTTAAATCCGCCTTGTCAACCGAGGGTGGGGGTGCCGAGCAACCATGAGCCCCGCGAACTGACTTCCGGAGCCTCTTGATTCGCAGAACCCACTAGCCAATCAAAATCATCTTCTTGCATCAAGCTACGTCTCCAAGCCTCCGCAACTCGAAGTCCAACATTCTATCTCCAATAAAAAATAATTGGCTTTTACATCCACCAAAAACCTTTTTTCTCCGAAAAATTTCAACATGATCAAAAAAGTTTTTGATAATACATAAACAATTTGTCTGAAAAGTCAACTTAATTTCTTATTTTTCTTCTAAATTTCACAAATTTCCAGCGTTATATAAGATTGACAAATTTTATACCATTGTAAATGTATGAATCTGACTAATCTGACTGAATAAACACCAATTCACAAACCATATTAGTTATTTTTAAATACTTAAATTTGTGCTTATTTTGTCATTTAAATATATTTAAGCTAGAAGGTCATGCTGCCAATCAGGAGGCCCTGTGAACTGTCCAGTTGGAGATATGATTACAGAACAGTTAACGAAAATAAACTTGTCAGATGGTTTTATTTGACCTTAACTACAAAAATACAAGGAAGTGCCATATTTCAAGTTTTGGACCAGTCTCACAGAATTATGACCTGGTATAAAAAAACATTTCTATCTCGTTTCTTCTTTTCTTTTTAATTTTTATTACTTTCAATATATTAATATATTATCTCATAATTTCCACCTAAGAATTCAGAATTCAGAATTTAGGATTCAGGATTCAATATTAAGGATTCAGGATTCAATATTCAGAATTCAGGATTCAATATTCAGGATTTAGGATTCAATATTCAGGATTTAGGATTCAGGATTCAATATCCAGGATTTAGGATTAAGGATTCAGGATTCAGGATTCAATATCCAGGATTTAGGATTCAGGATTCAGTACTCAGGATTTAGGATTCAGGATTCAATATCCAGGATTCAGGATTCAGGATTCAGGATTCAGGACTCAGTACTCAGGATTCAATATTCAGGATATAGGATTCAATATTCAGGACATAGAATTCAGGATTAAATATTCAGGATTTAGGATTCAGGATTCAGGATTCAATATTCAGGATTTAGGATTCAGGATTCAATATCCAGGATTTAGGATTCAGGATTCAGGATTCAGAATTCAATATTCAGGATTCAGTACTCAGGATTCAATATTCAGGATTCAGGATTCAGGATTCAATATTCAGGATTCAGGATTCAGGATTCAGGATTCAGGATTTAGGATTCAATATTCAGGATTCAGTACTCAGGATTCAATATCCAGGATTTAGGATTCAGGATTCAGGATTCAGGATTCAATATTCAGGATTCAGGATTCAGGATTTAGGATAAGTAAAAGTCCCGCACCAATCTTTAAATTTTCCGCCTCAGCGTCTCTGCAAAAAATATATTCTTATAATAAATCACTTTATTTTAAAATATTAAATATTTTTTTATTAAACATTACACGTTATTTATTCAAAATTATGATAAAAAATCAGTCTATCAAGGGTCACATAGATAAGAGAAAGTATCAGTCTTTTTTTTGTATGTAACCCTCTTCAATATTTTCTCACCAAATATTTATCGATTTTGCATTTTAGACGCATAATAAATGTTATGGCGTGGTTTATGGTTTGTTCCCTCTACAGTATACGAATAAACAAGCTTTAGTGTTTGAAGAAAATACGACTACCGCGCGCCTTTGTTCCAATCAGAGATATTGGAGGGTTAAATCGTCGGACGTTTTTTAAACTTCTGAAAAGAATGATAATTAATTATTAACGAAAGTTACTAATTCTTTGTGAAAATATTCTTTGTTTAACTTTTGAAAATGGATGGATTCACAATGCTTTTAAGTTATTTACACTCCGATGGGGAACAAAGGACTGGAGCCTAAAATTATTTGGTTTGGACTTTAGTGTCTCCGAGAGGGGTTCTAAGTTAAAGACGACTTTACATACATGTATCATAGTTAATGGTTGACACAATTATGTCTAAGCTATTTTAGTAATGAATATCAACGGTTTCAATTTTATGCTGTGAACTCAGATATATAACCAAAAATCAAGTCTTACATTTTACATTGTTGTTTTGTTTACAGATTAAAATCTTTTAAAATGGTATTTACAATATTTTTAATTGATTTGATGAATCAAGTCTGTTTGACATTAAATTTTTCTTCTGTTTGTCTCCAAGAGTCTCCTTCTTTTGTGATCTCCTAAAAAAATTGATTGAACGCCGTGGTGCCTAGGATTAATACCATATTTTAACAAGGATCCAGGTCCTGGATCCTGCCTTTAACAGAAATATCATATTATCCAGATTCGGATTCTGAATTAAAACTTGATTGACCATTCTAAGATCTTTACCAAATAAATAATCTTTTACTTGTCGATACCATTTTGTTTTGTATAATTTAATATTTTGCTACTTAGATCCGGATATTATTACTGAAACAAAACCAATCGAGCCAAAATGGTGCAGATCCAGATCCGGATCCAAAGCACTTGACTTATCCCGTTAAATAAAAGTGAATATCACTTTAGATTAAAATCATATTAACAAAAATGTTTTTAATTTCTAGTTTATATTTATGTAACAAAATAAACTTTCTTTTTGACCTTCTATTATTTAGTAAAGGTAAATGCTTAAACAATGGTCTCAAACATGTACAATGTGTTTGTTGAACTATTTTAAAGATTATTCCCACTACACTTTATTTTGGGGACCACTGTAAATAATTAGTTTATTGTAGAAACAGGATACTATGAAACTTCTCCACACCCCTGATATAAACTCAATCTGAAGTTATATTGAATTAACTAACCAAAATCTGAATCAAGGTTATAATTCAAGGAAAGTTAATTGCAGTTGCGTATACTCTGCGTACATATTGAAACCAGTTCTATTTAATATATTTACTTCAAAATTCCCCCCCCCCCAAAAAAAATCCTCAGTTGTGCCTGGTACCCACCTTGTAATGTAGATTCCACTGATTGTCCACTAATATCATACTGTGTGTTCGGGTTCCGTATCCTTTAAATACAAGATAAAAGGAACTGCGGTATGTTTTCTTTTATTTGGATCTCCATTGACAAAACGGGAGAATAGGACTAAAATATTCTTAAAGGTGGTCGGTTTAAAAAAAATAGGATAGATCAGAATTTAGTAAAAAAAGGGATTTAGCAAGAAAAAACCCTAAAATTTTATGTAAATCCTCAATCCATCATTTAAATAAGGGAAAACATCACCATTTTGTTTAATATCCACGAATATACTGCTAAGTTGAGGTCCCAAATGTTGAAAAGGACCAGGGTTTCCTCGGACCACAGACTGCTCAATAATCTAAAAATACATAAGAAAATTAAGTCCCAAATGTTGAAAAGGACCAGGGTTTCCTCGGACCACAGACTGCTCAATAATCTAAAAATACGTAAAAAAATTAAGTCCCAACTTTTGGGAAGGACCGTGGTTTCCTCGGACCACAGACTGCTCAATAATCTAAAAATACGCAAAAAATTTAGTTCTCTAATCTCTAATGTTAGGAAGGACCATGGTTTCAACGGACCACAGACTGCTCTATAATCTATATATTAAGCAGAAGTCCCTGGATTGCTCAAAAATCTCTCTCTCTATTTATCAATATAGTAAATGAGGGAGGTCCCGAGGGGATCCCGAGGTCCACGGACTGCTCTATAATCTATAAAGATTTTAAAGTCCAAATGTTTAAAGGACCACGGGTTTCGAGGACCACGAACTGCTTAAAAATCTATAAAAACGTAAACACAGTTGTCCAAAATATTGAAAAGAACAGCCCAAAAACTGCTCTGATCTGTGAGCACAAAAAGAAAGAATTAAAGTCTCTAATTTTGAAAAAGAAGGACGAAGAGTTCCAATTATAAAGTTTAAAGATAATGTTTATAAATGTAATGATAGATAGAAAATTGCTGTTTAAAAATTTCTCTATTTAACTACCTGAAACTGGATTGAATGGAATAAGAACAAGAAAAGCACAACTATTTTCATCTTATCAAAAGTTGATTTTCACAGGAGTAGATTTCCATTTATTAAAAAACTTTGTCTATGGAAAAAAATAACGTTTTCAAAGTTTCATTTCACCTGCGGATCAGGCCAGTTTTCTTCTGTATTCTTCAGTAAACATTCTGTCCAGAATAATAAATTATTTTACAATAGTCAAGACAATATGTACTTTGCAACCAGATGGTGTAAACATTTGAAATTTTAAACTTGGATTAACAGAATGCATAGTTTAAATTATCTAAAGTCCACGTCTTTGGTTTGCAAATATATAGAGACTAGCCTTAGAGGGCGCTTCGCGCCCATCTTCTAAATTAATTGTGAACACCTTCCCTGGAGTCCCTAGATGTCCCACAAAAAATTTGGGTCCGATCGGTTCAGCCGTTTTGACGTTTATTGGATACAAACAAACAAACAAACAAACAGACAAACAGACAGACAGACAAGCCAAATTTATATATAGATTAGAAAATCAGAGCTTGTGGAAAAGACTAATTTGCTGGAAAAAGTCAAAAATTTATTCATATAACAAAATAAGTTAAAATTATACTATGCATGATTAGAAAAAATCAAATAAAAGTCGTTCCGAAAGACAATAAATTTACGAAAAAAAAAAATTATTTTTCTAATATTTTCCTAGTTGAATAAACAGGTCATCTTCACTTCTTATTGAACTAACTAGTTCTCTACAAAGTTATTTTTGATCTCATCAGATGAAAATACAAGATTGGAATACAAGATGAAGATCAGGAAAAGGGAAAGAGAAAGATGAGAAAGAGAAGGATGAGAAAGAGAAGGATGAGAAAGAGAAAGATGAGAAAGAATATAGCAGAACGGGGATAAGAGGAGTATGAAAATAATGAGAAGATAAGGTGAGAAGAGTGTTGTAAAGGTGATGATAAAAAATGACAAGAAAGAGAGAAAAGTAGGACAATAAGGAGAGAAAGATCAGAATAAGAGGAGATGGTTCAGGATGAGCGGTGAAGAATCAGGATGTGAGAAGAAGGATCAGGATGTGAGAAGAAGGATCATGATGATAGGAGAAGGATCAGGATGAGTAAAGGATCAAAATAAGAGAAGCAGTATCCGGATAAGAGGAGAAGGATCAGAATGAGAGAAGCAGTATCCGGATAAGAGGAGAAGAATCAGGATGAGAGAAGCAGTATCCGGATGAGAAGGGAGGAATGGGGATGAAAATGAGAATGAAAAGGATGTGGAATGACAATGTAAATTTGAAAATAGGGATATAGCTTAAAATTTTAAAAGAGAAGAAAAATAATCCCTAAGTTTTGTTTCTCCCTTCTCAGCTTTAATATATTGTCTATGCTGAGGATGGTTGGATACTCCGAACGTCCCAAACCTTAAAAACAAATTCAATACTTTTTCACCATCTTCTCCTTCCTTACTGCTCCTCTTTAAAGGGACTATTAGAAAATTTTAAGTGACCCTACATTATAAGCTGGCAATACCCGATTCACAAATGGTACCCTTGAAAACTTTATCTGATCAATAATGTGGAAGATATTGTCGTTTATCTAGCTTTAAACGTGTTTGATTCTGATAACTCGTTTATAATTTCCTTCATTAGAAATGAGCAAGTCATTTTTATAGAGAAAAGATCGATTTTCAAAATTATAAATATTGATACCTAATTGATACTTGATCAGTCAAAATTTTTAATGGTACCGTTGTGAATCGGAAAATACCATGTTTTCATGGAGGTTCACTTAAAATCAAATTCAAAATTTATTCTAAAATGTTTTTAACAATATTTTGTTGGAATATATTTATTTTAATCCAATTCAAAATCCAAGTTTTAAAACAAAACTTGTCTTGGCCAACATAACAATAACAATAACAATAACAATAACAATAACAATAACAATAACAATAACAATAACAATAACAATAACAATAACAATAACAATAACAATAGTAATAATAATAATAATAATTATCACTGCCAATCCTTCAATCCGCTAAAAAAATATATTTATTGATTAAACCCCTACTTTGCATGAACTGGACCGAAATCATCTGAGTGATCCGCTAAACCACGTCCCAGTCTCCAAACAGTGTAGCCATCTTCCCCTAAACATGTCATTAATGTAAAAAAATGTTTTTGTTATTTTTTTGTACAAAATTCTATTTTATATGTACTGTTACATCTACAATCCACTATGCATGATATTAAGAATAGAGAAATATCATTATTAATGATGAAATTCGGAGATGAAATGTGTTTGATGGACTTAAAAGGAATTTTGATTCGATAAGATCAGACAAAACTTAAGCATAACAGAAAAATATGATAGAATTTAGAGAATTTAATAAAACTTTCAGAATATAAAAGCAGAATGATAGGAATAGTTGAGAACACATCAAGCTATTATCATGAGTTAGAAAATAATTGATAAATATATGAAAAAAAAACTTTTTACAATTTGAAGAAAGATATTTGATTTTTGAGGACAAGAACTGTGGCAGGGTGTCTGCAGATGTGTGAGCACCCTGTTTAATTGCTTCGACTGTCATCTATTTTATTTTATACAAAAATTATAAACGTAAAAAAATTATTAAATTACAAAATATTTAACAGTTTATATACCCGTTAACTGTTAAAATTGATTAATTCACAATCGTGAACTTTAACTTTGTACACAGACAGATGTATGTATTTCATAAATAAAATTTTGCGTTAGCAAAGTTACATAAAAAAATGAACAAAACGAGTAGTATTTGTTTTAATTTTTGAATAAAGTTAAAACTGGAGGAAATAATTACACGTCTATTAAACTTATTTTATTTCGTTTATTTTTCTTGACTGTCCACAACGAATGAGACTTCAAAGATCGTTATTAAAGTCACATCGTAGTTTTAGGATTCAACTTTTTGTTATTTATTAGTTACGGGCTCAGTTTCTCAATACACACAGAAATGTTAATATAACTCACCAGGTTCAAATAGGATTAAATTGAAAGGGTTGTAAACAGATAATTCTTCCTTGATATTCGTCAAATATTCTTCTGAAACAAAATGTTATTATTATGATTACAATTACGATTTTGGTAAATATGAAAGGGATTTTCTATAAAAATGGAGATGAAAAGACGATAGTGAAAGATCGTATTTTCTTTCTCTCATCAAAATTAATTAAGGTTTATATTATAATCATTACATGTTAAATTGATAATAATACACGCACCTCTGTGCTTTTAGTAAAAGTAAATTCAACGTATTTGAAGCATAAAGTCTGACCGCGTCAACCTTGTTGCACCGGCTATTCCTGTCCATAGAGCTAGGTACAGTACAAACTGGGAAACGGAAAGGCTGACGCGGCTTGGAAATTTAATGTACTACAGCTGCCGGTGAATAAATCAAATTTTAGTCAAGCATTGATCGATGCGAAAATCTACATACAGTAAATGGGGAATCAAAAGTGGGTTAGATCATGTGCTTTCTTGTTTTTCTAATTAAAATTCGATAAGTAAAGTTTACCTGGGGAAAAATTTCCTTTAAGAAAATCTACAACTAAATTCCCTCTCCCTTTAGCTTTCTACTTAAACAATTCAATTCAACTTAGATGAAAAATTTAGAATTTGATACCTTTAATCCCGATCGCTTAATCTGAATATCCAATATGGACACTTTTAATTTCCTTCTTAATCCACTCTTTTTCTTTCTTTTTTCTCTCCCTGAGAGTTTCCGACCAATGAGAGGCCACTAACTAAATTGCGCGCAAAATTTCAACATACTCGGCTTCTCTGATTGGCTGTTCTTGTTGAGTTAAATACACTTTTGTCAATGCAAACTTAAGAATAAATTAATCTTGAAATTAACAAAAAGAGAAGATCAAGCATTGATCTCGATATCCACAATTCTAAAGTTTTCATTTAAAAACCGGAACAAAGACCTTTGCTCTATTGCCATTTACTCTATGGCTCAGTTAGGCCTTCTGAGCTGGAAAATATAGTTTGCCCGGCGCGCGCTAGTTAGATAATAATATATTGAGAAAATGAAGTGTTTCATAGAGCAAATTGCAAAAGAGTAATTGGTCATATGAAATATTAAGCAATGATCAAATGTAGAATAAGATATGTCTTATGTGCCTTCAAACCTATATAAAATGAAATAAAATGTAATCATTGAACCCATTTTTTGTTATTGATTGTTTTTCCTGGTTTATTATTCCTCCGGTATAAATATTGGTCAGTAGAGCAACCTGACCCTGCTTATTACAGGCTAGCCAGGTTCCACCTTCTCGTCCTTCCTAAACGGAAATTAAGGCGTAATTTTTTGTGACAATTGTGCAACGTTTAAAAGTTGCACAATTTAAAATAACTATAAAAAACGAGTTTCTGTTCTTAGAATTTAAAAATTACATCCAGTTGCTAAAATATGCTTAAACATTGCCAAATAGTTCAACCTTTTTCTTTGTTTAGCAGAGCCGTACCACTGTGTATACCAATCTTTTTAGCAAGGTCAATATGCACTCAGACCTAACTTGGCACGCCTTATCTACGTATATTGGCGTACCCTTAAATTTTGCTATATTGCAATATTCTTGTACTCTGTATCAAACCAATAATATTGAATAAACCGATGAGTTAAACTTTAGGTATTTATTTATATTGTCAGAGCAATTTCCAGTTAGATTAATTTAAAGACTTAGGCTTAAAGTTTTATAAAAGCAATCATACAAGAAATAGAGACTTTTAGTGGAGAGTGTGTCCGATTGAGAGCAGTACCCTTTAAGTCTGTTTCGGAAAGAAATTATCATTTTTTCTTCCTGAAAATTTATTATTTTTAATTGAGGTCTCTCTATCAAGTTTCTTAGTAGGTTTTAAGAATTCATTAAATCAAATAATTATAAATAACCCCCCCCCTCCTTAAATGGAGGGTTCACTTAGAACAACATTTACAGACCATTTTATATGGTCTTAAGCTTGGTTAAGTTTGTGCTCAGGACTCCTAGCAGGGTTTAAAAGAATATATGATCAATGTCATGATAAAGATAGAGATACATTAATAAAAAGATCATATTTGAATTTTTCAGAATATTTTGTACGTAAAATTAAACCGAGGACATCACTGATAATCTTTTTTATTGGAAGTTAATGGTCTTTGCTTTCTTCCTTTCAGGTCTATTTTGTTCAAATATAATCCTGTGAAATACATTTTATTGTATCATACAAAAGTTTGAGAAATTGTTACAAAAATAAATTAAAATAAATATTACACCTGGCAGTCCCAACCACCAAACATGTCTCCGCTCCACTCGGCAGAACTCGTCGGACGATTAAAAAATTCGTCTCTAAATAAGATTTGATTATTTGCAGTGGGCGAGGCATTTCTAACTTGCCATGTTTTTTTTTTTTTTACTATAATAACAATTCGATGGCAATATTATATTGAGATTTCGGAAAGTAACTTTTTGATCTAAACTGTTAAATATTTTATGTTTTATATCTTTTGTGCTCAGGTATTTTAGAACAGGATCTGTTAACTTATTACTAGCAAGGTTATAATGCAAGGAAAGTTAATTGCAGTCGCGTATACTCTGCGTACATGTTGAAACCAGTTCTCTCTGGGTGGAATTTGTAAACAAGAATAGATGCATCAATGTTCGTTTGGTATCCGAGGAGGTTAAAAGCATTAAATTTTGATAATTTTGATAATTCACATAATACTTTCCTATGACCAGAATATTTCATTGATTTTTTATGTGAAAGATGGATCCCATGTCAGGCTCCGACATCCGACAGTACAAAAGGATGTGTACACCTCTGAAATAACTTTCCTTGCATTATAACCTTGATTACTAGTATCAATGTAGAGTAAAATTAAAGGGTCAAATAAGGCAGTTCATTTTTTACCAGATTTAACTTCAATATATCTTTTGCAAGAAGAAAAAGAAAACAAGTTTTGAACTTAAATTTTCTTTGACCTCGCCAGTGACCAAATTTTCATTTTGATACAGCGCACTAAAGAACACGTCTAAGTAGTCTATAAGTAAATTTTTAACTTTCTTTCATCTGTAAATACTCATTCTGAAAAAAAACCCTCTGAGCTGGGAACTTTAGAACGGGATATGCTTTATCCCGATCGGTTAATTGATCTGTAGATTAATAACAAGAGGAGAACAGGCATTATTTAATCTGGAGATTAAGAAAAAGAGGAGATCAAGCATTAATCCCGATATCCACTATTCTAAAGTTTCCAGCTCTGTTCTCCCAGCCATGGAATAAATTTTAAAAATATTTTTATCTCTGTTTATCTTAAAATAAAAATTTTCCTTTATAAAACACTGTAAAATGTATACCTTTGATATTTCAAATTTACATTAAATGATCTAACAGAATACATAGTTTAAAATATCTTGGGTCTAAGACCCTGTGTTGCAAGGATATTGGGATTAGAAAATCAGAGTTTGTGACAAAGACTCAATTCCTTTTAACACGTACTAAATACTTATGGACTTTACATAATAAGAATTCCAGGAGGTCAATCCGATTCCTAAAACAGTCGATCTCTTTTAATTCCGTCAGTGGGATATAACTGGAGGGTGCTCACTACTAATTTAATATTGGTCAGAATTAGTTATCTTATCTTCTTATCTTGAGAATTAGAAACCAACATTCTTATCTGAAATCAAGACAAGGAAACGTTTATTAATCTTGAATATATATATTTTTCATTTATAAGATTAACATGTTTCTATGGCATAAACTATCAAAAATCTGTTGGATTTTTAGACTAAAAAATTGATATCCCAAGATTATACTTTTTGTAACTCTACAATATGTACATTGTACAGTGTATACCAAAGTGACTTTTGTTGTAAATTCAAGTGACCCTCCATTTAAAAAGAGAGAAATGTCCTATTAAAATATCCTTATAACCCTATTCTGATCAGTAATGTGAAAATATCATCTTTTATCTAGCTTGAAATGTCTTTATTTCCGGCCACAATAAAAAATAATCAATTTTTGAATTAAAATTTTAAATATATATCTCGTACATTGATTTTTTATTCGCCACAACGTTTAAGTGGAGCTTTGTTACAAATTGTTTAATGAGAGTCAGTTGAAAATACGTGTTCAGTCTCTTTAAAAGAGAAAATAAATAAATGTAAAATCTAAATGTATACTTTGCATGTCTGTCTGGGTGTTTGTTTGTTTGTATCCAATAAACGTCAAAACGCCCAAACCGGTCGGGCCCAAATTTTTTCTCAGACCTCACGTGACCCCAGGAAAGGTCTATGGATGATCGAATTTTCAAAAAATTGCCTCTAACAAAACAAAAATTTTGAAAATTTTGAAAATACACGAAATTTTGTTTGCTTTTGTTTTACAGCGTATTTAAAGAGAACATGTTCACAATCGAAATAGAAGATGGGAAGCGCCCTAAAAGCCTAGTGACTAATACTTTCAATCTATGTACTATTATAAATGTATAAATATTTATAAAATCTGGCAGTTATTCTGTATCAGCAGAGTAGAGGATTAGACAGACTTCTTCTTCTTCTTGTTCTTCAAAGCGTCCAAGTATTGACCCAAAGGTTTCTAAAATGTATACTTTTACAAAAGCATTAATTTTTTTATCTTAGCTATCATAATATGCGATAAAAACAAAATTCATGGAATAATTTAGCAAATAAAATACGGATGGAAAAAAAGTACGTATGAAAGAAACAAAATACGGATGAAAGAAACAAAATACGGATGAGAGAAACAAAATACGGATGAAAGAAACAAAATACGGATGAAAGAAACAAAATACGGATGAAAGAAACAAAATACGGATGAAAGAAACAAAATACGGATGAAAGAAATAAAATACGGATGAAAAGGAAAGAAACAAAATACGAATGAAGAAATAACTTAATGGTAAAAAATATTGCAAGGGTAATGTATAAAAAATATTGGTCAACGAATTATGAATAAAACGTCAAAATAAAAACACGAGTGTAGAATATATAATTAGGTTAAAAATCAAATAAAGCGCATATAGTTTAGATTGATATAAAGGATTTGATGATATCTTGGTAGAGAGGTTCAAAAATTAATTAAACATAAGAATAAAAAAATAAGTAGTTGAGAAATTATTTTTATAAATTAAGGATAATAAAGGATTTGATTACTTTCCTCATGCTCAAATTTTGTATTTCTTATATCTTTGCAACCTGGTGTTGAAAACCTTAGAAATTCAAATCGAATCGTCAAGTTTAAAACATTAATGGTTTACACCACCAGGTTGAAAAGATAAAAGTTAGAAAATTAGATTTGACTCAACTGTCAAGTAATCAGTTCCTATATCAAAGAATAATTATGATGAACAGACAAAACGAATAAAAATAAGTAAAAACGAATAGAAACGAATAAAAATGAATAAAAAAAAATTATTAAAAATGAAAAAAAATGAAAAAAATAAATAAAAATTTAAAATAATGAACAAAAAATTAAAAAAAATGAACAAAAAATAGATAAAAAATGAACAAAAAATGAATAAAAAATGAACAAAAAATTAATAAAATGAATAAGAATAAATAAAATGAGTAAAGATGAAAAAAATGAATAAAAATAAAAAAGTATGAATAAAAATGAATAAAAATGAAAAAAATTTGTAAAAATGAATTTTTTTAAAATGAATAAAAAATTAATAAAAATGAATATAACCTGAATTACAGATTGAACAATAAAGTTTGCAAAGTAATCAATATCTTCCTGCTTCCCAGCACTTAACCTTAAAAAAAGTTTATAAGAAGTCTACAGTATTTAGTCTACCTTTACCCAGCACTAATAATAATAATAAATTTTCGTTTTTAACAGTCTATTTAATCTTTCATTCTGAACTTTTTTCGTATGTTCTCTTTTGTCTGGATTTATTAAAATTAAGATAATTTATTTTTTTCTTCTTTTCATGTTTCGTATTTTTAAATCTCCTGTTTCTCTTGTTTGATTAATTTCATGTCTGCATATTTGATCCACAGGGGTACCCTTAAAACCTTCAACTGAGTAACAATGTTGAAAGTGTTAAAAAGTGTTTAATTCTCCCATTTGTCTGTATTGTCTGTGCACCAGCTCTTTATGTTTACTTGTCCACTGACCTGTCATAAATATCTTTTCTGATCGACATCTTGGAAACATGTCTGGCTTCAGAGGGAACTCTCCTGAATAATAAGGATAGAATTTATTTCCAAAAACTTAGAATTTTTGATCTGGCATAATTCATAGTCAAAAATATCAAAGGTCTGCAACATCAGGTTGAAAGGGATTGAATTATTTAAGAAGGTACTACTAAACACTAGCCACAAATTTGTTTTCTAAATTTTTTTTTAAGTAGTCGCCACAAATTTTCTAATCCCGATATATCTGCAACCTGATGGGGTAATGCAATTGAAAACTTAATACTATTTGATCTGACAGAATTCATGGTTTGAAATATCAAAGGTCAACAACATCAGATACTTCGGTAAATCTTTTATTTAGAAACGTAATGTAATTTTGTAATTAGTAAGTGTAACCTTGGACAAATTTAGAGATAAATAAGTCACAACAATAACACTTGATTTCTTTTTAAAATATTAAAGGAAGACGACTTTCATTCCAATTTGTTCTGGTTCTAAGCGTACAAGATTTAAAAAAGAAATGCAAAACTAAAATAAACTTTATAACTACGTACATGAGAGCGATTAGCATTTTCTCCGCTTCTACCAGAGCTTCATCCTTGTCAGAGACCATCTTGTCTACCAAACCCAAACTTTATAGGGAGATAGATAGATAAATAGATAAAGAGTGAGATAGAGATATGAGTAGATAGATAGGTAGATAGATTGATATGTTGACAGATAATAAAAAGAATAAATAGTCTGATAGTTATGTGGATGAGAATTAGATACGAAAATAAACATGTATTTGATATTTAATAGATTGAGAAACACAGATGAAGGAATTCAAAAACACTTTAACTTCCGAGATTTTTAATATTAAATCTTCCTTAAAAATGTTTGTTAATTGTGAACCATACAGTGTGTTCCACTGAATAATGCAAATGTTGAATTAAAATTTAAAATGATTTTTGTGATTACTCAGGTTAAATTTAGACAACAGTTTTTTAATATTATTTTTCATTATTTTTACAAAGTGAGTAAAGTGTAATTTTACACAGTTTTGTTTTCTTTACTTTCATCTTGGAAATCTCTCAGACACCTTTCTTAAATTTCAAAGTAAAATTAAGTATTTGCATTTTTCAGTGGAACGCACTATAGATTAAGACAGAAGACAATTTACAGTGTACTGCAGTTTATAACCATTTACTTCTATTTCCCTTAGAGCTTGTTCTGTTGTGTACATAAGGCCAAGGGTGAGAGATAGTTCGGCTTGTCGAGATCCAATAGTTTGAACCATAGTATCCTTAACATAGAGATCCGAATAGTTTGAACCATAGTATCCTTAACATAGAGATACAATAGTTTGAACCATAGTAAACATAGATATCCAATAGTTTGAACCATAGTATCCTTAACATAGAGATCCAATAGTTTGAACCATAGTATCCTTAACATAGAGATACAATAGTTTGAACCATAGTATCCTTAACATAGATATCCAATAGTTTGAACCAAAGTATCCTTAACATAGAGATCCAATAGTTTGAACCATAGTATCCTTAACATAGAGATCCAATAGTTTGAACCATAATATCTTTAACATAGAGATACAATAGTTTGAACCATAGTATCCTTAACATAGAGATCCAATAGTTTGAACCATAGTATCCTTAACATAGAGATCCAATAGTTTGAACTATAGTATCCTTAACATAGATATCCAATAGTTTGAACCAAAGTATCCTTAACATAGAGATACAATAGTTTGAACCATAGTATCCTTGATATAGAGATCCAATAGTTTGAACCATAATGATCCTTATCATAAGAGATCCAGTAGTTTTAACACCTTCTTTAACTTTGAAAAATACAGAATTTGGAACTTTTATATTTGGCTTAATACGCTAAAATCTGTCTGTCCCTAATATGAATAATATTCTTGTTTTTGTTAATTTTGATGTTTGCATAAAAAATTGTACTTGGAAGGAAGACCGTCAAAAGAGTTCAGGTCAAATTTTGATTATCATCCCACCTTCATACTTAACAGAACAAATGATATTATTCATATTAGGGACAGAAAGATTTCTGCGTTTTTAACCATTTACGAATAGTGTTCGATCCTGAAGTATTTACCTTGAACCAGTATGGAGCAACTATTCCTAGCTGAGTTTCATTTAATCCAATAGAGTACTTAGGTCCGACCATAATCCGGTAGTCACAGCACATACCCAGTAGACAACCACCAGCTGGACTATAATATTATACTGTAGTCACAGCACATACCCAGCAGACAACCACCAGCTATAATATTATACTGTAGTCACAGCACATACCCAGCAGACAACCACCAGCATAATATTATATTGTAGTCACAGCATATACCCAGCAGACAACCACCAGCTGGACTATAATATAATATTGTTGTCACAGCATATACCCAGCAGACAACCACCAGCAGGACTATAATAATATATTGTTGTCACAGCACATAACCCAGCAGACAACCACCAGCTGGACTATAATATTATATTGTAGTCACAGCATATACCCAGCAAACAACCACCAGCAGGACTATAATATTATATTGTAGTCACAACATATACCCAGCAGACAACAACCAGCAGGACTATAATATTATATTGTAGCCACAGCATATACCCAGCAGACAATTACCAGCTGGACTATAATATTATATTGTAGTCACAGCATATACCCAGCAGACAACCACCAGCTGGACTATAATATTATACTGTAGTCACAGCACATACCAAGCAGACAACCACAAGCAGGACTATAATATTATGTTGTAGTCACAGCACATACCCAGCAGAAACCCCCAGCTGGACTATAATATTATACTGTAGTCACAGCACATACCCAGCAGACAACCACCAGCTGGACTATAATATTATTTTGTAGTTACAGCACATACCCGATAGAGAACCACCATTTGGACTATAATATTATATATTGGAGTCACAGCACACAGGCATTGTAATCTTTACATGGAGGGTCATTTAAAATTACGCTTACAAACGCAGTTCCTTTAAGGTATTAAAAAAGCATATTCAAATTAAATGAGAAATACAAACTTTGTGTGTGGAATTGACACCTAAAAAAAGATAAGATTTCGAATTTGCTCTTGTTGAGTTAAATTAATGATGTATTTTTCAAAAGATATAAATTAGTAAATAGAGTTGCATCTCCCTACCCCCCCCCCCTCAGTTACGGCCGTACTTATTTGGTTGCCATGAAAGAAAAATATAATTAGAAAATGAAAGTTTTCTGTTAAAACTGACAAATCACTCGAAATCCATGGAGGGTCATTTAAAATTACGCTTACAAACGCAGTTCCTTTAAGGTATTAAAAAAGCATATTCAAATTAAATGAGAAATACAAACTTTGTGTGTGGAATTGACACCTAAAAAAAGATAAGATTTCGAATTTGCTCTTGTTGAGTTAAATTAATGATGTATTTTTCAAAAGATAAAAATTAGTAAATAGAGTTGCATCTCCCTACCCCCCCCCCTCAGTTACGGCCGTACTTATTTGGTTGCCATGAAAGAAAAATATAATTAGAAAATGAAAGTTTTCTGTTAAAACTGACAAATCACTCGAAATCCTGAAAATCTAAACAAAACCTTATTTTAAAGTTGTTACTGCCAATAATAGACGGAGTAGATACCTGTGACCGTTAATAGCTGCTACAGTTGGTACTCTGCACCCATACAGAGCTAAATACAGATCCTGGAGAGAACTCCAGAACTCACGTAACCGAACCTATGTATTTCAAAATCAAATTTAATCTTTGATCTGGGTTGAGAAATACACTTTCTATGTTTACATGTACTTACTTATGTATATTCAATATTCAATACTTAAGTTAATTTTACAAATATAAGCAGATTCCCTTTAAGTTTAAGGCCAAATGCTTGTGATGGGACTCCTAAAAATACAAAGAAAAAAACTGAATTCTTGCATTTTTTAAAAACAAATCCTTTCTGAAGAGCTCGAGAGTATTTATTTTAAAATACTATTGGGAGCAAAATTAAATCTAGGTCGCAATGTCGTACACGTACTTTTGTATAAATTTCAACATAATTCTCTTTGTTAATATTGTGGATGTAAATAAATCATTAACTATGATTAGTGATTACCATGTCAGGTTTATACATCTCTGTGATCTCAAGTCCAGCGCAGAATATTGTTGGTAGCGAGCTGGTCAATAATATTCCTTTACTCTCACCCTCAGCTTTCCGTACACTCTGCAACATCAGATATTTCAATTTAAAAAATAATAAAATATAAAAGTTAACTCCTTTTTTATTCAAGTGAATTTAATACTGTTAAGAAGTTTAGTTGATATCAAAAATAGTTCAATTAAAAACAAACATAAAATATTGCATTATTGAATGTTTAAACTTTCTTTTAATCTGTTATTTAAAAACTAGTTACCTCCCAATCAACTGAAATTAATTTTTTATTTAATAATTGATATTTTCCTGTGTTAATTCTTGAATAAATTCCATGTTTAAGGAATTTGCAGGTCCTCTAAAAGTAACAAAAAATATTAAACAGTAAAACAAAATCATTTTACGTTAAAGTTTTCATCAGTAGGATAATCATTAGTAATAAAATTTTCATTAAATTTCATTTCAATTAAACTTTCATTTCTAAATTAACGGACGACATAACAGTCTTGATCTTGTAGGGGTAACTCTGTCCTGGTTTCTTTGTAAATATTTACTGATTTCTGAGATACCAATATTAAAAATATTAAGCGATACAACAATTATGATAATAAATCACAGAACAAATTATTTGAAACATACAATATAATTTTCAATTTCTGACCATACAATGTTTTCTTTGTATTTCTATTTGTAGTTTTGATAAAAAGACGACATTTAATATTAAACTTTAAACGCACTCACTACTCAAATATTAGGTCTTATATATTTTTCAAATTGTACAAAAAATATGATCATTTTATGTTTTCCTTGATGTGTGCATCCAAGAAAAATAAATGCAAAAGCAAAAATTGGCTTGGTTTGTAGGTTATTTAGCTCTAAGCGCATGGTCCGATTTAGATATAGAGTTTTCGAAACATCTATAAATTATCTTACAATCATGATGAACAGATTTGGTAATTCGTTTAGTAAATGTGAATTAATCAATATTTGGCCAAGGAAAAACATAAAATGATCTCATTTTTTGATAAATTTGATAAATCTAAAACCTTAAGAATTGAGTAGTGTGTGTAATGTGAAAGAACTAACTTGTTCATGCTGATTACAGAATATCCTGTAGGGTTCAGGGTTGTTTCCACATTATCCATTCTAATCATTATCAGATGTATTTTCGTTTTTAATTTTCATAATATTTATTTGAATTTGTAGTGGCATTATTAAAATAGAGTTTACTTTTAATGTTTCTCAACAGCAGCAGTCTAATAAATTAAATTGATTTCAGTAAAAAAAAAACTAGCAATTCAATTTTCAATTGCAATTAGAGAAAAAGAATGACTGATTCTTTTCTTTTAATCTTCCACTAAATTAAATCGTCTTTGTTTGTTGTAAATTCCTCAATTGCTCTTTTTATTTAATCAAGCTTATCTATAATTTTTTCCGATCCAACCTTGTTTACAATCTGGCTCTATTCAAGGGTCACCCTTACGCTTTATCATTTATCATTTATTATTTATCACTTATCACTTTTACAAAGGCATGTCATTTACTCTCAGACAAAATATAATCAATGGAAATTTGTAAATGATACATTTATCATTTATCTAGAGTGAATTTAAAAATTTCATCACAGAACTACGGCGATAGTCAATTCTTATGTAAAAAACAATTCTAAGAGCAATTTCTTTAAATACACTTTTTGATTGAAGGTCGTCTTCGTTAGCTTACTGGCACTGCAAGTTTTGACCTTGATGTCTCTTTTTTGGAGATCTGTGATTTCCCAATACAAAAGAAAAATGCTTCCAATAATTACTGCGATAATTCATTTTTATGTAAAAAGCAGTTCTAAGAACAAAATATTTTATGTTAAATTTTGATTGGAGGTCGTCTTCATTAGCTGAAGGTCGTCTTCATTAGACCTATATATACTCTTTTTCTGAAATCTGTTATTTCGCAATAAGCATCCAATATGTTTAAATTATTACGGCGATAGTCAATTCTTGTGTAAAAAGCCATTCTAAAAACAATTTCTTTTAAGACACTTTTTGGTTGGAGGTCGTCTTCGTTAGCTAACTGGTACTCCAATTGTTTACCTAAATGTATTCTTTTTTGAGATTGGTGATTTCGCAATTAGCATGCAATAATCTTCCAATTATTACAGCGATAGGCATTTCTAATGTTAAAAAGAATTCTAAGAACAATTTCTTTTTTAACACTTTTTGATTCTTATGCTAAATGGCACACAGATCCAGAAAAAGAGTACATTTTTGTCAAAAATATCAGTGCCAGTTAGCTTAAGAAAACAACCTCCGATCAAAAAGTATCATAAAAGAAATTGTTTTAGAATTGATCTTTACAGTAGAAATGACTATCGCCGTGAATATTGGAAGCATATTGCATGCTTATTGCGAAATAACAGATATCAGAAAAAAGGTATATATAGGTCAAAACTTGCAGTGCCCGTTAGCTTACGAAGACGACCTCTAATCAAAAACTGTCATAAGCCTCTAATCAAAAACTGTCATAAAAGAATTTCTTCTTAGAATTGATTTTTTTTAATAGAAATGGACTATCGCCATATTGGAAGCATTTTACTTGTGTCACAGATCTCAGAAAAAGACATAAAGGTCAAAACTTACAGTGCCAGTTAGCTAACGAAGACGACCTCTAATCAAAAATAGTCATAAAAAAAATTGTTCTTAGAATTGTTTTTTATATAAGAATTGACTATCGCCGTAATGATTTCAAGTAAATTGTTTTCTTTATGGAATCTCACTCCCCCCTAAATTAATTTATCATTCATTTATTAAAAGATAAATTGAAGGGACGTGAGCGTAATTTCAAGTGATCCTCCACGCAATGATGGCAATGTACTTTTGAAACCTTTATCTGATCAATTGTGGAAGATATTGTCGGGTTTTTAGGTTTAAAAGTGTGCTGATCATTCATATAGGTTCTCCTGGAGTGGAAATGTGAAGGTCACTTTGTGGAGAAACCACAGTTGTAAAACTAATCAGTTTTCAAAATTATAAACATTGACATATAATTCATACTTGATCAGACTAATCCTTAAATGGTGAGTCGGACCTAGCCATCTTTGCGTGGAGGATCACTTGAAATTAAGAGCAAAATAATAAATAAAAATACATCAATTCCCTGGATGCAGTTGCACTGAAGAATCTCACGCCAGAGGAACGCACTGATAAAAAATTATTATTACAGTTTTTAGAACTATCAGCCAAGACTTCAACATTATGTAAGGTGGCATATTGATGTAAGGAGGCATAAAGAAGTGTAATCTGAAAAGGATCCCGAAATAGACTTCCCTCTTTAAAACCTTTTTTTTAGGCTTTTAGTCTTTGAATATTTAAAGTTTTAAGGGTACAGTGTAAACTGTACTGAGTGTACACTGTACTGCGTGTACAGTGTACACTGTACTGAGTGTACACTGAACTGAGTGTACACTGAACTGAGTGTATACTGTACTGAGTGAACAGTGTACTGAGTGTAAATTATTCTGAGTGTACACTGTACTGAGTGTATACCCCTTTTTTATAAACTTTTTGCTTCAGTATCTTTTTGCACCAAATATCAGCAAATTCAACATTTTCTTTGCACCAATTTAAATTTTAGCAAAAACCATGCAAAAATTATGAAAATTTAATTAAACTATAAGTAATCTCTGTTTGTTTGTTTGAACCCCTCTATCGATTTGCCTCAACTATAATTGGGCAACGCACTGAAACTTTACAAGGGAATGTTCTTAGCTCGGGTTGAAAAGTGGTTTAGGACTATAGTCAAAGCTTGGTTCCAAATTAAGTGTTAAAATATCTACATGTACTAAAAACACACTATCAATTTCTTTTAAGTGTATTTGATCATACTGCGCTGAAAACTTTAGAATGGTGGATATTGAGATTAATTCTTGAACCTCTATTTTTCTTGAAATCGAGACTAACCTAATCTTGTATCCTGTAAAGTGTATAAAATTCACCCAATCAGAGTCGCATATATGAAGCCAATAAATTTGAAATTTGCGCGCCATTTAAGATTATACTCAGATTAAGTAATTGGGATTAAGGATATCTCATTCTAAAGTTTTCAGCTCTGCTCACCTACTGGAAGAACTTTCAAGGAAGAAAAAACAAACGCCATTTTTCTGAAGAATTCAATTTTAATAACTAGTAAAATATTTTTAAAAAATGGTTTAAAAAATTAGCATTTTGCGCAAAATTGATTTTGTTTAGATTCTGTGCAAACTTTACTTGATGCAGCTCATCTTGAACATTCTTCTGAAAAAAATGTTATCATATATTTCAAAAACATAAATATATTCATTTTAAAAAAATAACAAAAATCAATAATAATTGCGAGAAACCTTAAGCTGACAATCTATATAACCAAATAATAGTTATATAAAAAAGATTGTAATCAAATTATGCAAGTTAATGATGCAGATAGGCCATATGTGAATTAAATTTCATTTTATTTTGAACAAAGTTCACCAGTTTAATTTGTTCACATATCACAATATACTCGAGGATTTTTTATTTTTTAATCTAGCTTCGGAACCAAACTCAGGATTTGGAATTAGGAAGCAGTCTGATAATTTGCTCAGTCGTTTAAAAACAAAATTAGAAATCATCTTTGGGATATTGAATACAGATTTTTCTTGTAACTCGAAAAAGGAAAAAACCTAATAATTATCAAATTAAAAGCGATCATATTTTTAATTTTTGACGAGGATATTTAAGAACATGTGATGTAAAAATATAATGATCTAGCTTTTTATTTTTTTCCAGACCGGTGGTGCAGATTTACCCAATTCTACCCTAGACACCACTATGCAGTCCCCGGGATGCTGGAGTTCGTAGATTTTCTTTAACTCGTCCATAGCCTTCTCCTCCAGCTGGGTCAGATGCAGGGGTTTACTCTGAACCTTGATCAACGTTTTCTCCTCTTTAACATGATCCTCCATGATTTTACTGAAAGACAGGTTTTGCTCCGTCGCCATTAGATCGGAGAACTTAATTTCATCTGGTTTATCCGGAGACTTCACGGCACTTAGATTCCATGGATTAGTCGCAGGTTTGGTTGGGCTCTTCTCTTTCTCCAGCTCCCAACCAAGCTGCTTCCAGGACCCTTTCTTCACTACTATCTCAGGTTTAGTTTCGGACTCACTTGCTCTTCGCTCCTTAGTTCCGTTCTTTCCTTGTATCTGCATTATCGCAGTTAAAGATGGAACTGGAGGACTAGACGCTGCGGCTCCCCATCCTCCCCACAGTTTGCCGGAAGACGGAGATTCAACTTCCGGCATTTCCTGGCTTTCTACAGACTGACGCTTCCTCTCTTTCTGCGAGAGTTTCGGAAACTTTTTTAACTTCTCCTTGTTGATTTTATTCTTTTCTTCTGGGGAGTCGGCTTTCTCTTGATGAGTTGGTTTAGTCTGATTGTTTGGTTGTGGAGTAAGCAGGGCGGAGAAGAAGGAAGAATCCCTGGTTACTGTGGATTCTTTCCCCTGGGCTTTGATATTTTGAGACACTTTTATCTCAGGACTCAGTTTACACTCAGGACTAGATATTTCATCCTTCTCCTCAATGTCGAAATCTAGAACGGATAATCTATCCATATCCTGAGAGATATTTCCATCCTCGGAGTCCGAACCGCTGCATAAACTGCTTTCGGAGAGTCGTTGTCGGGGGTTCGGAGATTTTATTTTATCTCCAGAACTATTGCGACGAGTCCTCGTCTTGTTGGAGATCTGAGGACAGGTTTCCATCCTCTCCAGGTCCTCCAGGGATAGAGGATTAGAAAGATATTCTGTCTCTATATCCTCGCGACTAGGAAATCCTGAAATATATTTATCTTGTCAATACTTTATATTCTTTTAACAAGATTAAACATGAACATTTTTCAATCGATCTTAAAATCTTTTTGTTGTAGAGTGTCATTAACGATGCACATTGCACAATGCACAACTGTAATATTTAATGAATCCAACAGCCCTTTATTGTAATAATATCTGTGATTTTTAATCCAGAAGAGAGCCCTCGACAAACTTAGCGCTCGCCAGGGCCAATTAAATCCAAGATTAGTTTTTATTTGATAGTGAGGACATAAACATATTTCCAGGTAGAAGAAACGAAAACAATTATCGTCCAAAATTTCTTAGATGAAAGTAGAAGGGATTCGTTTTGAAAATAAAAAGAAACTCATAAAATACAGTGATAACCAGAAAACTCTGGAATAGGAAGACGACTTTTAAGCTTAAATTATGATTTAAGATAGTCCAATGAGCACGGGAAACAGAAATTGTCCAGTTTAAACAGACCCATTTGACTTGATTTGTGATTTAATAAGTGTCTGGTAAAATTATTTGCTTTATAACAACATTAAATACATATACGTATTGCTATAAAGTCGTCTTCAGAGTTTTCTGTTTATGACTGTAGTATAATCAAAGGGACTGGTAAACGTAATATCAAGTATCTATTTATAGAGTGGCATATCCGATTCAGAACAGTACCCTTAACAGCTTTATCTGGTAAAACATGTGTTATATATCCATCGTCTTCTCTTTGAAATAGATTATTTACAATTGTGGTTTCTCTATACAGTGACTTTTCAATCTACTAAAACGACGATATCTACCACATCAATGATTTTAAGTTTTAATAAAATTTTATTGCAAAACAAATAAAAAGTTGTTATTATTATTAAATCCCACCTGACATTGGCGTAATCCTTCTATGAGCTATACTAGGATTAGAATCCTGGTAGTATTTGTCTAGACTGGAGAGAACTTCAGGTTCAAGATTCTCCAAACCTTTATTCTCCAGTAGAGCTGGTAGGTTTATACACACAAACTGGAGACAGGTCAACTTCAACTGGTTTGCCTACAACATGATTACTAGAAATGGAACCTTAAATAGCCTTCAGAGCTTAGCGGTTCACCATGCAGATACATAAACATGTTTATTTATTATATAAAAAATTAAGTTTTGTAAAAAAACGTATTTAAAAACTACATATCACTAAATTTCAAGAATTCTCATTTAAATGAAACCTACATCAAAGTGTTCCCTTAAGATAAAAGTTTGTTGATACGACTTGATTCAGGGTTTCCCACAAAGGATAAGACTTCAGAGACGACAGGTACAGAACTTATACCGTCTTTTCCTTATTCTTATTATTCTCTGCAATCGTAAACTTGTTTTTTTTCTTTGCCTAATCATTAAATAAGCCATTAAAAGATTGTATTCAAGGTGACAGACTTTAACCTTGGAATCAGTGCTTAGGATCCGGATCCATTGGATCCGCAAGATTTTGGCTTCCTGGATCCGGATCCGCAAAAATATGCGGATCCACGGATCCGGATCCAAGGGGTAAAATATTAACCAAAAACGGAAAAAAACCTTTCTTACTCATAAAACCTAAATCTGAACTTCTGAAAAAAGAGAGATTATGAAAATTTCCTCATTTCTGAATGGTTCATCAAGTTTTAGCATAAAAGTAAGCGAAAAAAAATAAAACAAAAAATTTGAAAATTATTTTTTGTTAAAAAAATTCAGTAAATCTAAAAGAAATCCGGATCCGCATCAAAATTAAATGGATCCTAAGCACTGCTTGGAATCGTCAAATTTAAAGAGTTTCAGTCTCATCCTTTGTGGGTAACCCTGTACAAGATGAAATCTGCATGAAGACCTAGTATGCTGTACCTGATATATTAAAGAGAACTCAAGCATGTCCGATACATTCTTTAGAGTAATCAGTTTAGACAGTTGGTTCTCACAGATCTCTTTCAAGCGAACTAAACAAGATCAAAATCAGCTTCATTTTACAGACAGATCTCTTTCAAACGAACTTAACACAAGTAAGTTAAAGGGAGTGACCGGCAATGTAAGGTAGTTGAACTGAGTATGCAGTGTTGTGGAAAACTTCTTTCGGATTCATTTCAGACATATTAAACTTTTTAAAAATCTGTAAATCCTGAGTTTGAGCGCAAATTCGACGTTCAAAACTAGTGGATACGTTTTCAGAATTTTTTTTTAACAAATGGAGATCTCTGAAATCTGAAAAAGTATTCTTTTTTATTTATTGAAATGACATGGCGGATACAGAAAAAAAAGAAATTGATAGAATTTGTCTCTCTTGAGGATAGAAAAACGACAATATCTTCCTCATTGTCACTCATAGATTAAGAATTAAAGGGAACCATTGTAACTTTTTAATTAGAGGGTCACCAAACTTTTTTGAAAAAACAGTCCCTAAAATATCCCGCCAACTGAAGATCGGACTGAAACCCCAGAGTTTGGGTGAGAATTGAAACTCTGACCTTTGGAGAAGACGCCTTTTAAGCAATCCCTGTAAAGCAAGATTTGATTTGTTAGATAATATTTACCGATGAGGAACTGGTCTGCCACTACTAGGATATTAGAGATAAACTCCGTATCCTCGGACTTATTCAGTATCTTACTCTCATCTTTGTACAGGTACTCAACCACACACTCAATATACCGAGTCTAGAAAAAGCAGTTTTCAAATTTGTTCGTACAGATCCAAGAAATTAAAACTAAGTATCGAATCGAAATTTGCAATTGGCGACAAAAAATGTAATTCAGAAAGAAAATTTCTTTTTGATTTTTGATATTAAATTTATAAAGCTTTTAAATAACTCTTTTAAAATTTTTCTATCTTATTTTGTCCATTTTCGTCAATTCCTCCATTTTCCTCCATTTTTTCTATTTTCCTCTATTTTCCTCTATTTTCCTCTAGTTTCCTCTAGTTTCCTCTACTTTCCTCTACTTTCCTCTACTTTCCTCTACTTTCCTCTACTTTCCTCTATTTTCGTCTATTTTCGTCTATTTTTGTCTGATTTTGTTTATTTTCGTCTATTTTAATCTATTTTAATCTATTTTCATCTTTTTTCATCTGTTTTCATCTGTTTTCATCTGTTTTCATCTGTTTTCATCTGTTTTCATCTGTTTTCATCTGTTTTCATCTGTTTTCATCTGTTTTCATTTATTTACATCTATTTACATCTATTTTCATCTATTTTCATCTATTTTCATCTGTTTTCATCTGTTTTCATCTGTTTTCATCTGTTTTCATCTGTTTTCATCTGTTTTCATTTATTTACATCTATTTTCATCTATTTTCTATTTTCATCTATTTTCATCTATTTTCATCTATTTTCATCTATTTTCGTCTATTTTCGTCTATTTTCATCTATTTTCGTCTATTTTCATCTATTTTCATAAAGGGGAGGGTACTGTTTTCCCATTTGAATACATTTTGGACTCCTGTCTTCATTTTTTGAGGAATCTGAATGAAATTTTGCATATGGGCATAATTTGTGTTTGTTTTCAGTAAAATAAAAAAAAATATGGAAAAAAAATATTTTTTCCCTCTTTTTCCACATTTTTCCTCTCATTATCTCCTCCATTTTTCTTTTTTTGTTTTACCGCCCTCCAAACATCGTGACCACTCCGTTTATTACCTTGATCGGTAGTTTCAGATTATGTGATTCTCCTCCCTCCATCCAACCAGAGGAAAACATTCCTTGGAAATAATCTGACCTAAAGTACAAGCCAATCAATCAATCGTCAAAACTAAGAATTTTATTTTTAAAATATTTTTCAGGGTTTCAGCAATCTTAATAAACACACTTCCCTGGTTCATAACTCATACACCCCAGAGCAAAAACTTAACACTGAATATTGTTATGAAACTTAGTATCGGAAACTTAAAATTCGCGCATTCTTTAGTTTTAGACTCAGGTTTCATAAATGGGGTTACGGAGTTTTGTAGATACTAATAATTTTGTTAAGCAATATTTTTTCATGTAGTTTTTTTACATTCTCTTTTTGTTTTCTGATGTCTTAAATCAAAATCTACACAAATGTTAAGACCCCAAAAAGGAAACCCGAGAGTTTTTTTTAACGATACTCTCCTAAATTTCCGGCTCGGAGGTTAAGGGAGATTTTGCGAGGATATAAGATGCAAAATTTTACAATATCCTGAGGATGTTTTTGAATGAATTTAAACGAGTTCAAAATGATCATTTATGATTTATGAGGTAGTCTGGCAATCTCTTTGGTCGAAACAGAAAATGTCAAATTTCCAGACTTCCTATAGGTTCTTTGAGGGGGTTATAATTCGCAAGGAATTACGAACCCTTCAAAAAATTCCAACTTTAATCACAGTCAGGTTTCTTGTTTTAGATAAGATAAGATAAGATAAGATAAGATAAGATAAGATAGAGGAAGGATCTGAAAACCTCCCAATCTTAGAGAGACAGAGATCACATTTAGAAGCCTTCTGATTTCCTTACCTTGCGACGAGGATAGGTTTATGAGCGTATATCTCATCTCCGTCCTCCGTCTCTATCGTTACATCGTAGAGCTCAGAGAGGTTCTTCATGGAGAATTCTTGCCTTGGCCTCGGAGGATTACTCTTCTTAAATATTTGTCCTTCGCTGTACCTAATCAGAAATATAAGTTATTCTAAAAGAAATCAAGGCTGAACTTAATCAATCATTTAATAAATCAATCTGTCAATCAATCAATCAATTAATCTACAATCTACATATTCACATAGCGTTTAAATCTATTTTTCAAGTTTCGTGGTTTACATATTGCATCTGAAATAATCAACTATCTTGTTAATGTTCAGTCCAGCCANAGCCAGCCAGCCAGCCAGCCAGCCAGCCAGCCAGCCAGCCAGCCAGCCAGCCAGCCAGCCAGCCAGCCAGCCAGCCAGCCAGCCAGCCAGCCAGCCAGCCAGCCAGCCAGCCAGCCAGCCAGCCAGCCAGCCAGCCAGCCAGCCAGCCAGCCAGCCAGCCAGCCAGCCAGCCAGCCAGCCAGCCAGCCAACCAGCCAACAAACCAACCAACCAACCAACCAAGGTTAAAATGTTAATATATTGCACCTAAAACAATCTACGATCTTGTTGAGACCGTATATTCCTAAACTCCGCCCTGCCTCCTGAAACTGAACCAGGGGGTTCCAACTCTTCTTTTTCTTATTACTCTCCTCCTGTTCTGCCTTCCTATTCTTATTCTTCTTCCGGTTCTTCTCGTAGGTAGAGAATGCGGAAATGGTTTCCGGGTTTCCCTGAAAGTTCAACATCTCCGTATTGTTCTCGTTCATGTTATTGAAATCTTCTTCAACTAATCTCACGGGACAAGGACCCTCCTGTAGGAAGAGAAGTAATTTAGGTTTTACTTTGCAATATCATGGGGAAAAAAACTCACTTGAAACTCAAGTTTTCAAATATTTTTGTATTTTCAACCTGACGATGTTAAACCCAAAAATATTATCTTAAACTACGACCAAATGATCAAAAAGAATTCAAAGAAACATTATAGGTTTGCAAGATTAGGTGGCAAAGATATAAGGATTAGAAAATTTGAGTATGAGGAGGATAATCAGTTACTTTTTATTATGATTTGAAAAAAAGTAATTCTCGGGACCCAACCAGATAAGCTCTTTATTAGGTTCGTATTTCCAGGGACCCAACTATTTCAGATCTGCTTGTCCCGTCTTAATTAAAATTACCCCAAATATAAGTTTTCAACCTACCTTGAGAAGATCACAAGTCTTGGTGTAAAGATACTTGAGAACCTGTCGGAATATATCAGGTTCAATATCTTCTATCAAGAGAACAGTGGGATGCAAGGTTTCAGCAAATCTCAATTGTTTACTGAAAAAAATATCAAATTTAAGTTTTTAAATTTAACACTGTACTTATCTCTAGAACCATTATGTCTGATAAAGGAATTGAGTTTTTGCCGAATACTCTAAATTGTTAATCCCTTTATCTTAGCAACTGATGTCGTAGTTTTTTGCTTGTTCAAACTAAAAATTCTGTTAGATCAAATAGTCTAATTTTGAAATATCAAAGGCTTACAGATTGCAAAATTTGCGACAAAAATTCAATTCATTTTGTTAATGGTAACACTGGTTCCAGAAAGATGTGTGAGATTCTCGTCCTCTTTGTCAAATTTAATATTTCTATTATATTTTATTTAATCCTAAACCCTCCTTCTCCTGTATGTCCCTGGACTAATGTATAAACCTGAGTAGTTCAGCTCCGCTAGCAAGGATAAAACTGTGTGCCGGAAACCTCTGATCTCCAACTACACAGACTGTATCATGAATACCATCCAACTCATCGACCTCCGACAACAGGTTCTCCAACTCCGACATCTGAGTAGACGGAGATATCTCCGGGATCTCCGTGAGCGCCATCCTTGGGCTCACCTGGAGTATACAGAAATTTCTACCCTTAGGATCAGAAACCGCGCGCACAGCTCGATGCACGTGCGGGATTCGTTTCAACTTCAAGACAATGGACTCCTTGGAGACCTTAACGGTAGGGGAAGGAGCACGTTTTGATTTAATAGGTTGAGGCCAGGTGGTAGACCAGGCTTCACCTTCTTCACTCACTAGCAGCATCCCCTCCCGGTACGGAGCGAAGTCTGTGATCAATGGCGGAGATCTGGAGAGCGCCAGTACACAGGAAAGAAACTTCTTCTCCTTCCCCTCCTCCCACACCATAATCCTCCCCGCCTTGGTGAGGATAAAGACCCTAAGGTTAACTCCTCCTCCTGCTACAAGCTTGAAATCTATATCTGCTGAACCCCCAGGATCTACAGCAGGATCTAGATGTCCTCCTACAACCTAAAATATAGGCTTTAATTTAACCGTTTTTTAAAGTAATTTTTCTGTACCCTGTTTTGGATTTGCAAACTGCGAAAAACAAGTGTTCATAATTTCAGAAAATATTTTTTAAAGAGTAGAAAAAAAAAAATTTTACCTGAATTTTTTGAATATTTTGTTGGCGGAGACCGATCTTCTTAGTGGTATATTCGTAGAGAGCCAGTACATCTCCCTTACTCGTACACACAACAGTAGCACCGTCACTCACACAAACCTACACACAACAATATTTATCACACAAACCTACACACAACAATATTGATCAGAAATACCTACACGCAAACAATATTAATCACACATACCTACACACAACAATATTAATCACACATACCTACACACAACAATATTAATCACACATACCTACACACAACAATATTAATCACACATACTTACACACAACATTATCAATCACACATACCTACACACAACAATATTAATCACACATATCTACACACAACAATATTAATCCCTGCACATACCTACACACAACAATGTTACACATACCTACACACAACAATATTAATTACACATATCTACACACAACAATATTAATCACACATACCTCCACAAAACAATATTAATCACTCATACCTACATACAACAATATTAATCACACATACCTACACACAACAATATTAACTACACATATCTACACACAACAATATTAATCACACATACCTACACACAACAATATTAATCCGACATACTTACACACACCAATATTAATCACACATATCTACACACAACAATATTATTCATACATATCTACACACGACAATATTAATCCGACATACCTACACACAACAATATCAATCACACATACCTACACACAACAATATTAATCCGACATACCTACACACAACAATATTAATCACACATACCTACACACAACAATATTAATCCCTGCACATACCTACACACAACAATGTTAATCACACATATGGCATACCTACACACAACAATATTAATAACACATACTTACACACAACAATATAAATTACACATACCTACACACAACAATATTAATCACACATACATACACACAACAATTTTAATCACACATACCTACACACAACAATATTAATCCGACATACATACACACAACAATATTAATCACACATATCTACACACAACAATATTAATCACACATAACTACACATAACAATATTAATCCGACATACCTACACACAACAATATTAATTACACATACCTACACACAACAATATTAATCACACATACCTAGACACAACAATATTAATCACACATACCTACACACAACAATATTAATCACACATACCTACACACAACAATATTAATCACACATACTTACACACAACATTATCAATCACACATACCTACACACAACAATATTAATCACACATATCTACACACAACAATATTAATCCCTGCACATACCTACACACAACAATGTTAATCACACATATGTACACACAACAATATTAATCACACATACCTACACACAACAATATTAATCACACATACCTACACACAACAATATTAATCACACATATCTACACACAACAATATTAATTACACATACCTACACACAACAATATAGATCTCACACCTTGACACAACAAAATTAAAATCACACATTAAACATTATATTTCACCTGATCAATTTTTGTGTCATTTCCAGCGAACGAGGTCACCATTTTTGGAAGAATAATAGTTTTATCTCCCTAAAATAATTTAAGAGTTAAGCAAAACCGTTTTTCAAATCAAAATGATTAAAATTTATAGGTGAAAAACAGCATAACTCGTTGACTTAACAAACAATTAAAAATTTCAAATGTTACCAGTTTATTTTCGGTTAAAAATTACCTTAATATGCCCGAGCTGACCCGCATTTAACCCCCAGGTATAGACAGCATCCTCGGTCCAGAATACAGAATGGTAACGAGCAGCGGCCACGCCCACTCCAACAGGAAGCTTGATACCTCCCCGCCCACCTATAGGGGCAGGAGCAAGGAGGCGGGGAGGAGGGGGTTGATGCCCGAGCTGATGAAAAGTATTCTCCCCGCAGGTGAAAACGATCCCGGCCTCGGTCAAGAATAAAGAATGGTCAACTCCTAGTGCTAGGTCAATACAGGAACCTACAGTTAACAAGACAACATCATTCAAGATCATAAAATATCAATAATAAATATAAATTCATATTTACAAAGAGATTTTCCATATGCTTTTCTCCAAAAGTCTTCTTTCTCAGAGTAACAACTTAAAAAATAGTGCGGCGAAGCGCAAAACTTAAAATTATATGGAAAGGTAACAGTTGTGGAAAAGAATTAGCAGCAAAATCAAAGTTTCTGTTTTAAACATAATGTTTGAAAATTAAAAACGATCAAATTAGTATAACAATGGAGGGGGGGGGGGGGTTGTAGAGGTTTATAAAATTAACAACCAGAATTTGTTAACAATTATATACCTATTTGAATAGAAGCAGGAGTAAGAAGCATTGTTTCCGATCCGATTCCCAATCTAAAAAACATGCAAAGTTTGAGCAAGCAAATCTAATCTAATGGTATACTCCACAGATTTAAATCCAATTTTGTGGTATGTACAAAAAATTTGTACAGCTTGAATGTTAAAAAACAACAGGGGTCCATATATTTCCATCCAAATTTTAATTAATTGATGTTAGGAGCAGAAATTAACCATGTTGTTGTTTTAAACATCTTTAAGCATGATGTCAAGTTGTAGAAAAATACCATGCTGCATAATGTATATTGTGGGCTAATTTATCTCTTATATTTAATTCTGATATTTACAACTTTTAACACCCCAAACACGTTACACATTACTAAAGTGTATCACTCGCGCCCCTTTATGTACTTTCAACCCAGATCCCATTTGGGATCAGAAATGGAATGAAATATATACCCCTAAAAACAGGAGTGGATGAAATTTCCATTTGACGACATTTTAGAAAATTCTAGAAAAAAAACACAAACCTTCCTCCTCTGCCGTGTCCACAAGTAAACACTGATCCTAAAAAAATAATATTCTTCATAAATATTTAAATATAAAAATAAAGAAAGAGTTATATGAAAAAACTTTCAAGTAGAACTTAATCAACTAGAATTACCAAAAAAACGTATAATTAAATTGGTGCAATGAGGAAAACGTATTCCTCAAACGTCTGATTTATATAACAGACATCAAGAAGTTATAATCGTCATTTAAGTAAAGTAAGTTGTGTATAGAAAATGAACGGATTGAAAAAAAGATCAATCGAATTAAAAAGATTAAACAATATTGAGAAAGTATATTTATGTACATTGTACACTGTACAGGGGCGGCTGATGATATTTTCAGGGGGGGGGNTGATATTTTTATTCCTCCCCCCAACCGGAATTTTTTACAGTGAATGTGTTTATTTTTATGTCCAAACCATAAGTAGCTAGGGTGTAAAAAGTGGAACATGTCCCCCCAATTTTCTAGGGAGGGGGACGTCCTCTCCCCCCCCCATAAGCCTCCTCTGTGTTTGTAATATATTGTATAACCTGAACTTGTGAGGAACCCACTATGGAACTTCTGGAGAGAAACCTTCTTAATCGAGGAACCTTGCTTCCTAACAAATAACAAATATATTCAACTATTTCCAGGGGAATATATTTTTCTAAAAAAATAACCAAATACTCTCAAACTGTTCAATACTTAAACCTGATTTTACATTCATAAAATTAAAATATCTCATTCCATTCATAATAGGATTTTCTCTGGTATTTCTGTTGCAGATTTGATGTAAAAAGAGATCTTCGGATCTAAGTATTAAAATATCAACCAAAACATACAAACAAAAGAATTTTTTTTTAAAACTCTAATGTTCAGTGGAAATCATTAAAAGAGATCTAAATTACGAATTCATTTTTAAAAAGAATTAATTCCTAATTTTCTCTCAACAAAGAAATATTATCTGTACCTGAGCTGTTCTATGATATCAGGATGTGTCCTGGTGGAATAATCGCCGGTTCCTAGATTATAGTTAGAGTTTGAACCCCACACATACGCCTAGAACAAACAAAAAATAATTCAGTCATTGGACAAAAACCAAAAAAAATTTAGACAATATGTTGTGGGATTCAATTATAAAAAAGAATGAAACAAATCTAAAAACATGAAATCACAGGACAATTTCCAGAGGCGACTAATGTCTCCCATCTTTGCCTATACTTGCAACCCCCCTTCCCCCTTCTAAATGTCTAAATAAGTAAAATCAGATTAATTCTAAAGCCGACCTCTAAAGGAGACTGTATTGAGTAGCTGACACGAGGAGGACGATCCATGAGAGCATGATCTAGAGCTGTCAGTCCATTGTTATCCGTCAGGGCGAGATTAGCTCCTACAACAAAGGTTTTATTTTATGATGGGCGCAACTAAAGGGGGGAGGCAGCAGGCCCACTTCCCTAGCCCCCCCCCCCCCCCCCCCCC